ATATCTGAAACCATTTTATTTTTATTCTAAGTTTTGGGGAAGAGGGATTCGAACCGGCTGAGTCAGAGAATGCATACACTAGAACTAAATGATGAGGTGCATAATATCCTTTTTTGGCTGCATAAGTTTGCTTTGTATTTTAATCTGCTTTGTGTATAACAATTTAAGTCGTTTAATCTACTTTCTTGCTGCTGCAATTACCATATTTATTCGATCTATTGCTATTCTGGTCTTGATTGTTTACCATGTCTTTGCTCGAGTAATATCAATTTGATCCGATAGCGGAAGTTGTTGGAAATATTTCAGAGGATAAGGAAAATAATTGAACTAATATATTTGCAGGCACTTCTATAGTTGGATTCAATGCTTTGTTTTTAAGCAACACATACTGTTTTTACTGTTGATTTATTGATGTTTTTCTTCTATAATGGCGGAGATGAGAGAATTGACTGCAGGTGTCGGGATTTGCATTCAGAGCTGCCGACACTTCTATAGTTCGATTCAAAGCTTTTTTTTTCCTTGTTCTAAACGCATGCTGTTTTAACTGTTGATGTATTATTACTCTATTTAGAATAGAGGTGTAAAAGAACGAACTTGCAGGTGTTGGGATTTGAATCCCGAGTTGCATAATGTAACTTCTTGAAGGAATGATTAAATGAGTCAATTGACGAGCAAAGACCCCGAGTTCAGTGTAACCTCTTTGCTCCTTGCTTGGTCTTGTTGAACAGAAAGCACATGGTGGTTCGATTATCGTAACTCATCCATGCTGTTGAACTTTCAGACAATAGGCAAAAGAACAAAGCCTCTGTGAGAAACAACTAATGCAGCAGGGCAACTAATGCAGCAGGGCAACTAATGCAGCAGGGCATACCATGTCCTGTACTGAAACTTGCATGGTTTAGGGATAGCTGAAGTTATTGATGTTGCAGTTAGGGCTTATACTGCTTGTTAAGGTCGTCTCGGTCTCGTCTTTCGAGCGTAAGAATTTAAGTTCGAATCTTGAGAACATCGGATTTTGATGGACTATGGAAGATGGTGTGAATGTTAGATCTACATGATTAAAACATGATAAACAGTGAGTATTAGATGAGTTACTTGAACAAATTCAAGTCGAATCGGAATCGGATATATTTGTTTGAGATTTTTTTATCGAATATTAATTGTCGGTCTTTGATTTCTTTTAATCCAACGATCATATAAAAGTGTAAAACTAAAAGAGTTTTACTCATTATAATTGGATTCTAATCTATATATGTATTAACTATTTTGTTGAGGTAGGGGTATCAAATGTGATATTACATTTAAAAAAGAAAATTCTCTATCAATGGATTAGTTCAGGTGGTAAGCAACTTGATATCGTTTAAGTAAAATTTTAGGTTCAAGTTCTTGTATATACAGAAAATTTTCACAGATGACTCACCTATTAAAATCAGGATACGACCTGGGTCGTTCCAAATTAGTCATATAACCAAACCCTTAGACTGAGGACAACAACAACAAAAAAAAAAGTTTCAAAGAAAGAAATTACACTTGGGTAAAAAACCCTGTAAAACATTACATCTAATACAAGATTGCAAATGAAAAGCAGTTACAGAATCAGAAAGCTCAGTTCCAATCCAGATTGCCAAATTCTAACCATTATTATTCATATTATTTGCAACATCATCCGATTGTTCGAAATGAGCTTTGGGATTTGTTTTTGTTCTTTGTTTGAGGCAAGAATGAGTACACAAAATCTGGGTTTAGTTCTGATAATCCTAGGATCAATGTTGGAGGCAGAGTTTGGGGAATCGATGAGGTTCGAGTTGGATTCAGGACAGACCAAATGCGTATCCGAAGATGTTAAGACGAATGGAATGAGTGCGGCAAATACTCCATCGTCAATCCCACTGATGCTTACGTATCTTTGCCTGATTCTCATAAGCTCATTGTCAAGGTATGTCCCCAACCAGTACTTCTTGGGATTCAAATTATGATTGCGGTCGTATTTTCAGTTGCATCGTGTTATCGTAACTGTTGACATAATGGATATTATTACAGTGATTACTGGTTTTTTTGGGTTTCTTTTAATCCCTGCTATTTCTATTGTTTTTTGGGTTCTTGTAATGTTTGGAGATTGAATCTATTGGAAGAAGTTTGAATTGAGTAATAGAAAACCCTAATTGTTATTGGAGTTTTATGTTGTTCGGAGTGAAAACGTTGGATTATGTGTGTGATTGTTTTATCATTTTCGTATATCGAGACTTCCAGAAAATATATCCACTGTTGAGGTCTCAAAAGAACATCTCTAGGTATAGGGTTTTTGTAGCCTAGTGCTTCCTCGAAAGCTACACCATTTTGTGACATAATATTCGACAACTAACATATGATCTGTTAGAACCAAAATCAATTAACGATTGATCACATCAATCGAACTCCATCTATCGTGTCAACCTATAAATAATCATCAGGCTCTAGTGTGTATGATTGTTGTATCATTTTCGTATACCAAGACCTCTATAAAATATATCCGCAGTTGAGGTCTCAAAAGAATATCTATAGGTATAGGGTTTTAGGAGCTTCGCACTTCTCGGAAGCTACAACCTTTTGACATAATATTTGACTGGTCACGTATGATTTGTCATAACCAAAATTGATTAAAATCAAACTCCATTTATCGTGTCAACCAATGAATAATCATCATGGCTCTCCAAGTGCGTAAGATTGTTGTATCATTTTCGTATAACAAGTTATTTTGCGTATATACATTTGTTTTGTAGGTGAGCTCAGCTTATGGGCACATCTATCACATTGGAGACGACGTGGATTCCGGCAACTTCGCATTTACTGCGGCCGAGAACGGTGCTTACACCGCTTGTTTTTTGGCAACTAATCACCGGCCTCCGGTAAGGGTCACCATTGATTTTGTTTGGAAAACTGGCGTTGCTGCTAAAGATTGGTCCATGGTTGCCAAGAAAGGGCAGGTTGATGAAAGTTCATTTACCATAATCCTCCTAATTTCGCTTTATTAACTCGGATTCATATTCGAATACGCGTCAAACATGAATTTTGCGCATAGGTTCATCTATATGTTCAAGTATGTGTCGGACACGAATACTTAAAACCCGAATTACATCACAGTTAACAACTTCAACATTCAATTCCCTGTAGATAATGGAGCAGGAACTGAAGAAATTGTATGAAACTGTCACGGACATTATTGAAGAAATGTTTTATCTTCGCGAGAGGTATTTAGTTTCCGATCTTCGATTTAATTCGATCGGTTCATGCGATAACGTTAACGTTTATTCGAGTAAATTTTATTCGAACTCAGGGAACAAGAAATGCAACATCTTAACAGGGAAACGAATTCGAAAATGGCAACACTGGGTTTCTGCTCCATTGCTGTATGCTTATCAGTGGCTGGTTTGCAGATTTGGTATTTGAAGACATTTTCTGAAAGGAAGAAGCTCTTTAGTTGGCCGAGCTCTACTCGAAAAATTGATTTTTTTTTAATTTTAAGTTATTCGAGTCATCTCCGATTATCAATTCGGTTTTCGAGTTCGAGTGGAGTTGAAATTTTGAGTTACTCGAAAAATCAAAAATTTGGCGGAGTATTTTGACAATTTTACGATTTAGTCACTGATATTATTATTCATTCTATTTATCCTTCAATTTAAGTCATTTTTTACTAAATTTGAATCGCATGCTCCTAAACCATCTTAGAATACATATGTACTTTCAATTCCTCATTTTGATAACAAATTTTATATTTTTCAATTTAGTCCCTCAATTTTTCATGATTTCTTTATTTCTTAAATTCATCTTTTATTTTAAGTTCATTTTTTTATCAAATTTGAACCACATGCTCATATATCACAATAGAATACCTATGTAACTTCAATTCTTACATTTTTACTAAAAATATACTATTTTTTATTTAGTCCCTTAACTTTGCATTTTACTCAATTTGGTCTTTTGACTACAATTGTTTATAAATTCTTTTTTCCCATCAATTCCTTACTCCTTTAATACTCTTATCAATATTTTACAGTCAAAATATTTTCTTTAAAATATATAATATTATGAAAATATTTTATAATTTTATATTGTATTTGATATATTGAATAACATTATAATGTAAAAAGAATATATATATATATATATATATATTATCTTTTATGGTTAGAGAAAGTCAAGAAATTGGAATAAGTTCTTTTCATAATACTATAGATAATTATAATAAAATTAATATATAAAATCGAATAACTCGACTCGAATTTCTTAAACTCGACTCGAAAAAAATTCAAATTAAGTTCGAGTTGTAAAATACGACTTGTCAACTCGAATAACTCAATTTTTTTTTACTCGAATCGACTCAATTGAATGTTCACCCATATTTATATTTGTTTCGGAAAAACAGACCAGATCGGTCGAACCAAATGAATCATTGAATCATATGTTATTTAATAAGGTTTCATTTTATTTTGAAATCAAAACATATCGTTCGATATAATACGGAAAACACAAGATGATAGGTAATAGAGACATGCCCTATCCTTTATTTTGTATCTATATATATTATGGCATGAATCGAACTCCATTTATGCAGTGAGTCACCGGTCTAATTAATCATCTTCGTAATCACGACGCCGACGGTTTTGCTCTCGACGACCCTTCTTTTCATCACCGCTACCGCTACTGTCACTGTCATTACCCTGCAATGTTAGTCATGGTATAATTGAGTCTTGAGCTGCACTAATATGTACATTACACTCGATCTATGTTACTTAAATTCAAAAAATACTCACTTGTTTTTTGCGGCCATAATTCTTCCCATCATCATCGTCGTTGTCATTATCATTCTTCTTTTTTTGATATCTCAATTTCTTATCGTCGTCGTTGTCGTCATCATTTTTCTTTTTTCTATATCTTGATTTCCTATCATCATCATCATCCTCGTTATCTTCTTTCTTTTTCCAATATCTCGACTTCTAATCGTCTTCGTCTTCGTCATCCTCTTACCTCCTATAACTCGATTTTTTATGACTCGACTTCTTATATCCTTCTGAATCCCCGTATTCAGATCCGTGTTCTCCGTACTCGGATTTTCGACCAGGTCGTTCATCATATCCAGGCTTCTTTCCATGACCTGACCCGTGTCCACCGCCATAAGCACTAGGTATGCTTCCGGAGCCAAAATTCGGACGTTCGTAATCAAAATCGCCTTCGGTTGAACGAGGGTAGCAAGTGGCCTTGCATGGCTCCAACGGTTGTCCGTAGGTTACAAAGAGATCGAACCCGCCTTTGTACGGCTTCGGATTGTACTCGTTGAACTCATCTGGTTCGTCGTTATCCGGTGCCGTGTAATAAGGCATCGTTCCGGGGTTGGCTCTACGTTCTTGGAAGAAAAACTTAAGGATTCTTATCTGTGCATGGAGATAAATATACTATGGAAAGTCAGAACGTTGAGTAGGAGAGAAAGGTGGGGAAGCGTTTGAATAGGACCATGCAGTGATGTTTGGTCACTAAAAAATCATAAATGTGCGATTAGGTCCCTTAACTCCTCATTGTCATCACTGAACGTTGACATGCATAAATTAGTCAATTGATGAGTAACACTGTGACGTGTAATAATGTGGTTTGTGTGTGTCTATCATAAAATTATATATTCGTCCTTATTTGTATTTTATTAAATTAGTGTCGTCACTAGGTTGGGTAGGAGCACCTTCCCGGGACTCACAATTAAAAATTTTTAATTTAATTTTAATTATTTTTTATAATTGTAGATTTAGTTATAATATTAAAAATACCCCCGAGAGTATAACTAAATATTACTTTGATCCTTATTTTTTTGGGTCATTTTGGCCTCCAAATATATCATTTTGGGGCAAAAGGGTCCCTCTATAAAAGAAAACTACTAGTTAACAAAATGTTAATGTCCTAAAAAACTGATCCTTTTATCCTAAAATAAAATGTCGGGAGCCAAATACTTTAGGAAAAAAATAAGGGACAAAGTGACTATTTAGTCAAATGTTAGAGACTTTTTTACCCTAAAATGAAACGATACAAGTCAAAATGCTAAAAAAATAATAGAAATCAAAATAACCATTTTAATAAACATTGAAAACTAATTTTGGCATTATGCATATTTATTATTAGAGGTCAATTTTTTTATAAAACAACACGGTTCTCTTAGAGTATTGTCTTATACACTGCAAGTCGGCTGGATTCATAAAGAAAACTTATCAAGAATGTCCGATTATGTGTTTTCTTGCTAAATCTCGAGAGCACATAACCAGTCAATTCTTATATATGTGTAAGTTATGACATATCAAAAAAGGTACGACATAACCTACAATGGAGGGTAGGGTGTCCGTAAAAACCCTTTGGAACTTGGAAGGACACGTATATGGATCAACTTATCAAACATGTAGGTTGGAATTACTCTGATAGAAGTATTGCTTTTACGAGTAACGGTTCCCTCGACTTAAACCGTAGATGTTTCGGCCCCGGCTGCTGTTGATCGAAATGGGTGACCTCGGCTCGAGAACTGCTGGACGAAGAAGCATGACAGTTCATTATGCACGGTTTCGTCTACCCAGATCCGAACCGACCTTGGCTGGCACAAAGAATGGCCCTGAAAATACCATTGTCTGCTTAGGAATCTGTATGGAAGGCTGGTATTAGCTTATATTTAGTGGTTTCATGCATAGAATAAGGCATTATTCATATACATATATATGACAAAGTTGATAGTATTCCGAGTTTATCGATTTGATAAGTCGTATTTTTATTGATTTAGGATTCAGGATTTAAGGCTTGGTTTCCATGAGTAATGTTTTTATTGATTTAGGATTCAGGATTTAAGGCTTGGTTTCCATGAGTAATGCTTGTATCTCATACGTAACTCAAATACAAGACTCCACAATTATACAACTAAATAATATAAATAAACAGTAATTAAAACATGTTGGTACAAAATTTATTAATATGATTTAGTATACAAAGAAAATGGGTTCTGGTAAAAAGATATTTTATGTGCCAAAACAAAATTTATCAAACTCTAATCCCTTTGAGTTTGTAGAACAAATGGCAACTCTACCTGCAAACTCTTCGAATCAAGGAATAAAAAAATCGGACAGTGTACTGAACTGGTGGTCGGACCTCCGGTTCCAAGTTCGACTACAACGGAAAATATGAAGTTGCCAAAACCAAACTATCAAGCTTCCTTTTTCCATGGCTTCGGTTCTGGACTTTCTGAGATTTTGCAATGGTGAACATGTATGAATGGATTTTACATCATCTTCAAACGGATTTGTGGTCTGGTATTTTCCGACTGCGTCTTCAAACTGTCGATTCACTTGATGGAATGAGCAACGCCCCGATGGTCGATGGGAGAGTGGTTGTCTTTTGCTGTTTTGCTTGTACCTGCTCCAGTTCTTGTTCCGTGAACACTTCGGATTGTAAAGACGGGGCAATGTTCTTCACATGCAGCCATGTCAATTGCCAGAAGCTTTCTCCCCCAAGATCATCACTCGGCACGAGCACCCCAGTAGTCTTCATCACCAGCAGGGTGTTCTTGAGAAGCTCGGGGACGAATTCATGCATTTTTTCACTACGTTTCCCTCGGAACTTGACTTTCATGCATCTCTCCATACGATCGAGGACCCCAAGCCATAATTTGCAGAAGGATGTCTGTTGTGATAGATCCTGCAGTGACTGTAAGAAAGCTTTCGACAGTAATTTTGTGGCTAAAACAAGTGTACCCTCCATTTTCCGGTGTTCTTTTGAGGGGCTCCCCTGTGCAATTTCTAGCAAATCATCCATTAATGAAAAAATCACATGGTCGAAACACTGGAACCACAAAGCTTTCGGAATCTGAATTCCATCTACCCCTCCTAAAGAACTCTGTAACATTAAAACGGCATGGTTCCTCACCTCTTCCCTCTGGTCCAAACATACTGCCCTCAGTCCACGCACCAACCTCAGCCACATCTCTCCAATGTCCCGACTTACTTTCAATGCAGCCTCCTCTTCCGCAGCATTCCGAGCCTCGGAAGACCATCTTACTAGACAAACAACTGAACCTGTCATCATGTCTAGGGCAGAAAGTGACCTATCAACATCTGTGACCCGAGACTCGGCAAATTCCCTTGCCGCATCCACACAAAGAACATAATTAGACGGCAAAAGATGTGCCCCCTCAGACATGATGAATGCTAGTGCCTCGAATCCGAACTCAGATGCTTCTGGATGTCGAGCTGTGATAAATAACAAGGAGATGATCGTGCGCCAACCCAAATGGGATCTGATGTGAGTTGCATTTGCTTTCACGAGATGCATGACTTCTTGCGTGATATGTTCACAATACGCATCAGCAACCCGGGCATCAAGTTTCAATATTAGTTGCATGGACTTTAGAAGCTCGTCAGTAATATTTTCCTTATAAGGAAGCAGGCGCTGGCATATCTTAAGGAGCCCAAACACAGCCTTTTCAACTAGAGTGCATGGTACCGCCTTCTGCTGGACAATATCTGATATGTGCTTGTATACCTTTTGCCAGATTATCAAAATTCTATCCCGGTTATTCAGCGTGATAGTGATCAACAACTCCAGGCAGAAGACTGCAGTGTCTTCATCTTCAATGACCCTGGTTCCTTTGCTGAATCGACCTGCAGCCAAGATAATGGCATCAACAATTTGCAATAAAGACTCCGCTTGGAGAAACTTACTCTCCATGAATATATTATCGATGTGGCATTCCTGTACTATCTCACGAAGACGCTGTTGAGCAGCGAGCTCTTCCTCAGTCGGGTACAACTTCGGCTCTTCCGTATCAAAGGATAGGAATTGACTGAACCGTCCAATCAGGCTAGAAGATTTCTGGGGAATGGCCGCAGGTGCTGTCTGTGCTCTTTGCAAAGAACTTGTAGCAGGCTTACCCCTCTCATGGTCAGACAAGGACTCGATTTCATCAGCTGCGTCACTAGCTAGATGGGCAGGAAGAAGGTCGAGCTTGTGCAAGGTTAAGACACAATCCAATATGTTTTTCCAGCCACTGTGGATACAATCACCATAGTTATTCGCTATAGTGAAAACTGTTGTGGTCGCCATCCCTGCTCTGGCATCATCTCCGAAGGAAACAATGGCCTCTTCAATAGACAATGGAGTTGAGAGGTTCGTGAATTTACAAAGACACACAACCAAATCATCCAATACATCACCGGAGTGATAGTGCGCTGAAATTTTGGCAACAGCCAAGAATCCCTCTTTGTACATTTGTAAAACATCTTCATGTTCCACTTGATCAAAAACCACAGATATAGCAGCAATCGTGGGACCAGACAAGATAGAAAACATATCATGGTCAAGGAGTGCTCTAGAATCGCATGCAATGAAAGGGGTGCTTTCTTTGGATTTGTGAACCACATTAATCCAGCGGCTTGACGTCATTACTGAGAAACCAGCACCTTGATCAGGGATCATCTGAATTTCGTTCTCACAGATAGAGTGGTAAAGCTCAGACAAGTACTCTCGAGGAAGATCTTTCCCACCATTGATGAGTCGGTTGTTACGGATAAAATCTTCTTCAGTCATCTTTTTCTTAACCTGTACATTATGCTGATCTGTGTTAAGCATTATAAGTGAATAAGACAACAAGAGGGCAGCATCTTTATTACACAATATATGTGGTGATAGCTCGTAATATCTTTCAGCAAATGCCTCGAGCACTCTCTGTATCTTCTGTGATTCTCCAGGCAATCTGAAAGTTCCCACGAAAACACGTAATGCAGAATCTAAATTCATGTCACTAAAATCGAAGGTCTTCACAAATTCATGAAGCACCTGAACACAAAATACATCATGATTTCCCAGAAAATCTCCGATAAGATTCTTATCTAGCCCAGTTGTGTACCTAAAGAATGATGCTACACTTTCTGGTTCAAGCATATCAGGTAATAGATGGATTCCTTGGAGAAATTCCAGACCTTTCTTTGGATCTCGATTAAAATTATCAGCTCCGATAGCCAACTTTCTCTTGATATTCTTCATCTTTCGGACAAAAGGAATCCAAGAATTAGGATCACTGTAGTTCTGACATTTCAATGTCCAGAAAGCTTCATATCCCTCACAATCTGTCGAAGCCTCATTTGATATAGGCAATTCATTGCCAATTCTCTGAGCCATACCCTTTACCGTAGACACCAAACCATCCAGGGAAAGGATATGCATTGCAGACAGAGGTCCATTCACGGGAAATGCACTCTTCGACAACAAGTTAATAATGTCTTCAAAAACATTACTGCAAGTTATGTCACAATCATAATTAGCATACATCTCAGCCACAAATGTCTGCTGCCTACAAAGGTCGACC